TGGTGGGTGAGATGTGCTGGTGGGTGTGATGTGCTGGTGGGTGAGATGTGCTGGTGGGTGAGATGTGCTGGTGGGTGTGATGTGCTGGTGGGTGAGATGTGCTGGTGGGTGTGATGTGCTGGTGGGTGTGATGTGCTGGTGGGTGAGATGTGCTGGTGGGTGTGATGTGCTGGTGGGTGTGATGTGCTGGTGGGTGTGATGTGCTGGTGGGTGTGATGTGCTGGTGGGTGTGATGTGCTGGTGGGTGTGATGTGCTGGTGGGTGAGATGTGCTGGTGGGTGTGATGTGCTGGTGGGTGTGATGTGCTGGTGGGTGTGATGTGCTGGTGGGTGTGATGTGCTGGTGGGTGTGATGTGCTGGTGGGTGTGATGTGCTGGTGGGTGTGATGTGCTGGTGGGTGAGATGTGCTGGTGGGTGTGATGTGCTGGTGGGTGAGATGTGCTGGTGGGTGTGATGTGCTGGTGGGTGTGATGTGCTGGTGGGTGAGATGTGCTGGTGGGTGTGATGTGCTGGTGGGTGTGATGTGATGGTGGGTGTGATGTGCTGGTGGGTGTGATGTGCTGGTGGGTGTGATGTGCTGGTGGGTGAGATGTGCTGGTGGGTGTGATGTGCTGGTGGGTGTGATGTGCTGGTGGGTGAGATGTGCTGGTGGGTGAGATGTGCTGGTGGGTGTGATGTGCTGGTGGGTGAGATGTGCTGGTGGGTGAGATGTGCTGGTGGGTGTGATGTGCTGGTGGGTGAGATGTGCTGGTGGGTGAGATGTGCTGGTGGGTGTGATGTGCTGGTGGGTGAGATGTGCTGGTGGGTGTGATGTGCTGGTGGGTGTGATGTGCTGGTGGGTGAGATGTGCTGGTGGGTGTGATGTGCTGGTGGGTGTGATGTGCTGGTGGGTGTGATGTGCTGGTGGGTGTGATGTGCTGGTGGGTGTGATGTGCTGGTGGGTGTGATGTGCTGGTGGGTGAGATGTGCTGGTGGGTGTGATGTGCTGGTGGGTGTGATGTGCTGGTGGGTGAGATGTGCTGGTGGGTGTGATGTGCTGGTGGGTGTGATGTGCTGGTGGGTGAGATGTGCTGGTGGGTGTGATGTGCTGGTGGGTGTGATGTGCTGGTGGGTGAGATGTGCTGGTGGGTGTGACGTGCTGGTGGGTGTGATGTGCTGGTGGGTGTGATGTGCTGGTGGGTGTGATGTGCTGGTGGGTGAGATGTGCTGGTGGGTGTGACGTGCTGGTGGGTGTGACGTGCTGGTGGGTGTGATGTGCTGGTGGGTGTGATGTGCTGGTGGGTGAGATGTGCTGGTGGGTGTGATGTGCTGGTGGGTGAGATGTGCTGGTGGGTGTGATGTGCTGGTGGGTGAGATGTGCTGGTGGGTGTGATGTGCTGGTGGGTGAGATGTGCTGGTGGGTGTGATGTGCTGGTGGGTGTGATGTGCTGGTGGGTGTGATGTGCTGGTGGGTGTGATGTGCTGGTGGGTGAGATGTGCTGGTGGGTGTGATGTGCTGGTGGGTGTGATGTGCTGGTGGGTGAGATGTGCTGGTGGGTGGATGTGCTGGTGGGTGTGATGTGCTGGTGGGTGTGATGTGCTGGTGGGTGAGATGTGCTGGTGGGTGAGATGTGCTGGTGGGTGTGATGTGCTGGTGGGTGAGATGTGCTGGTGGGTGTGATGTGCTGGTGGGTGTGATGTGCTGGTGGGTGTGATGTGCTGGTGGGTGAGATGTGCTGGTGGGTGAGATGTGCTGGTGGGTGTGATGTGCTGGTGGGTGAGATGTGCTGGTGGGTGTGATGTGCTGGTGGGTGTGATGTGCTGGTGGGTGAGATGTGCTGGTGGGTGAGATGTGCTGGTGGGTGAGATGTGCTGGTGGGTGTGGTGTGCTGGTGGGTGAGATATGCTGGTGGGTGTGATGTGCTGGTGGGTGAGATGTGCTGGTGGGTGTGATGTGCTGGTGGGTGTGATGTGCTGGTGGGTGAGATGTGCTGGTGGGTGTGATGTGCTGGTGGGTGTGATGTGCTGGTGGGTGAGATGTGCTGGTGGGTGAGATGTGCTGGTGGGTGAGATGTGCTGGTGGGTGTGATGTGCTGGTGGGTGAGATGTGCTGGTGGGTGTGATGTGCTGGTGGGTGTGATGTGCTGGTGGGTGAGATGTGCTGGTGGGTGAGATGTGCTGGTGGGTGAGATGTGCTGGTGGGTGTGATGTGCTGGTGGGTGAGATGTGCTGGTGGGTGTGATGTGCTGGTGGGTGAGATGTGCTGGTGGGTGAGATGTGCTGGTGGGTGTGATGTGCTGGTGGGTGTGATGTGCTGGTGGGTGAGATGTGCTGGTGGGTGTGATGTGCTGGTGGGTGTGATGTGATGGTGGGTGTGATGTGCTGGTGGGTGTGATGTGCTGGTGGGTGTGATGTGATGGTGGGTGTGATGTGCTGGTGGGTGTGATGTGCTGGTGGGTGTGATGTGCTGGTGGGTGAGATGTGCTGGTGGGTGTGATGTGCTGGTGGGTGTGATGTGCTGGTGGGTGAGATGTGCTGGTGGGTGAGATGTGCTGGTGGGTGTGATGTGCTGGTGGGTGAGATGTGCTGGTGGGTGAGATGTGCTGGTGGGTGTGATGTGCTGGTGGGTGAGATGTGCTGGTGGGTGAGATGTGCTGGTGGGTGTGATGTGCTGGTGGGTGAGATGTGCTGGTGGGTGTGATGTGCTGGTGGGTGTGATGTGCTGGTGGGTGAGATGTGCTGGTGGGTGTGATGTGCTGGTGGGTGTGATGTGCTGGTGGTGCTGGTGGGTGTGATGTGCTGGTGGGTGTGATGTGCTGGTGGGTGAGATGTGCTGGTGGGTGTGATGTGCTGGTGGGTGTGATGTGCTGGTGGGTGAGATGTGCTGGTGGGTGTGATGTGCTGGTGGGTGTGATGTGCTGGTGGGTGAGATGTGCTGGTGGGTGTGATGTGCTGGTGGGTGTGATGTGCTGGTGGGTGAGATGTGCTGGTGGGTGTGACGTGCTGGTGGGTGTGATGTGCTGGTGGGTGTGATGTGCTGGTGGGTGTGATGTGCTGGTGGGTGAGATGTGCTGGTGGGTGTGACGTGCTGGTGGGTGTGATGTGCTGGTGGGTGTGATGTGCTGGTGGGTGTGATGTGCTGGTGGGTGAGATGTGCTGGTGGGTGTGATGTGCTGGTGGGTGAGATGTGCTGGTGGGTGTGATGTGCTGGTGGGTGAGATGTGCTGGTGGGTGTGATGTGCTGGTGGGTGAGATGTGCTGGTGGGTGAGATGTGCTGGTGGGTGAGATGTGCTGGTGGGTGAGATGTGCTGGTGGGTGTGACGTGCTGGTGGGTGTGATGTGCTGGTGGGTGTGATGTGCTGGTGGGTGTGATCTGCTGGTGGGTGAGATGTGCTGGTGGGTGTGATGTGCTGGTGGGTGAGATGTGCTGGTGGGTGTGATGTGCTGGTGGGTGAGATGTGCTGGTGGGTGTGATGTGCTGGTGGGTGAGATGTGCTGGTGGGTGTGATGTGCTGGTGGGTGTGATGTGCTGGTGGGTGTGATGTGCTGGTGGGTGAGATGTGCTGGTGGGTGTGATGTGCTGGTGGGTGTGATGTGCTGGTGGGTGAGATGTGCTGGTGGGTGTGATGTGCTGGTGGGTGTGATGTGCTGGTGGGTGAGATGTGCTGGTGGGTGAGATGTGCTGGTGGGTGTGATGTGCTGGTGGGTGAGATGTGCTGGTGGGTGTGATGTGCTGGTGGGTGTGATGTGCTGGTGGGTGTGATGTGCTGGTGGGTGAGATGTGCTGGTGGGTGAGATGTGCTGGTGGGTGAGATGTGCTGGTGGGTGTGATGTGCTGGTGGGTGAGATGTGCTGGTGGGTGTGATGTGCTGGTGGGTGAGATGTGCTGGTGGGTGAGATGTGCTGGTGGGTGTGATGTGCTGGTGGGTGAGATGTGCTGGTGGGTGAGATGTGCTGGTGGGTGTGATGTGCTGGTGGGTGTGATGTGCTGGTGGGTGAGATGTGCTGGTGGGTGTGATGTGCTGGTGGGTGTGATGTGCTGGTGGGTGAGATGTGCTGGTGGGTGTGATGTGCTGGTGGGTGTGATGTGCTGGTGGGTGTGATGTGCTGGTGGGTGTGATGTGCTGGTGGGTGTGATGTGCTGGTGGGTGTGATGTGCTGGTGGGTGTGATGTGCTGGTGGGTGAGATGTGCTGGTGGGTGTGATGTGCTGGTGGGTGTGATGTGCTGGTGGGTGAGATGTGCTGGTGGGTGTGATGTGCTGGTGGGTGTGATGTGCTGGTGGGTGTGATGTGCCGGGTGTGCGATATGGTGTGATGTGCTGGTGGGTGAGATGTGCCGGGTGTGCGATATGGTGTGATGTGCTGGTGGGTGAGATGTGCCGGGTATTAGCCACCGTTTCCAGTGGTTGTCCCCCGCCAAGGTGTGCGATATGGTGCGATATGGTGTGATGTGCTGGTGGGTGAGATGTGCTGGTGGGTGAGATGTGCCGGGTGTGTGATATGGTGTGATGTTGTGTGTGTCGTGTTGCACACAACAACCCCCAACAAAGACCCCCCTCCCCCCTCCCCCCTCCCCCCTCCTCCCGCCCAGATAGGGGAGCACAGCTTCACGTGCAAGGCTGTAGCCGTGATTTGAGACGTCTCAAAACATGCCATGCATCTGCATCACATGCCATGCATCTGCATCACATGCCGAGTTTTGAGATGTCTCAAAACTCCTCCTGCCCAGATAGGGGATCACAACTTCTTCACCCACAAGGCCGTAACCGTGATGCCCTCGTGCTTTGTTCTTCCCACAACCCCCACCAAAGACCACCCCCCCTTCTCCCACCCCCGTGCCCTTGCAGTCATGCTCTCCCGCTCTGCCGATGTGGCGCTGGCACTCCACTCCGCTGCAGACGCCAGGGGCAAGGGCACGGGCAGGAGCAGAGGCACGGGCAGGGGCAGAGACAGGGCCATTGGCTGTGGCACTCATGCTTTCCCCCCTCGCATCCTTTTCCACCATTCTCTCCATCCCAGATAGTGGATCACAACTTCATAAGCCGCAAGGCCGTGGCAGTCATGCTCTCCCGCTTTGCCGATGTGGCGCTGGCTCTCGGCTCCGCTAGCGACGCCCTCGCCCGCCTGCATGCTGCCCCCTCTCTTGCACTCTCCCAGGGGCAAGGGCAGGGGGAGGGGCAGGGGGAAGGGCAGGGGCAGGCACTGCGGCAGATTCGTGGCGCGGAGTTTCACCTGGTGCTTGTCAACCTGCGCCTTGCTGACATGTCCGGGTACGATTGGCTTGCTGATGTGTCAGGGTGCGATTGGCTTGCTGACATGCCAGGCTACGATTTGGTTGCTGCTTCACTACAGCAACAATTTTGCTGTTCGGTCCTGCTTTACCAGCATTTTCCATCTGCCCGTTTGCCACAGATTTTCGCTTAGCTTCCACGTTCCGACCCCCTCAGTCACCCAGATATGTAGCTTCTCTCTTTGGAAAACATGCGATTAGAGGAGCAGCACTATAACGAGGATGGGATGCACATGAGCAGTGCCCCTCAGCAATTCCACATCCCCGTTCTAACTTCGCCCCTGTCGCATACTGGTCTATCTACAGCTTCGCATTCACACAAGCTGTGAGGCGCATGGAGGAGCAGCGCTATAACGAGGATGTGGTGCGCATGGGCAGTGCGGCTCAGCACTCGCACATCCCCATAGTGGGACTGGTCAACGACGCCCTGCCTGAACTGGTGGCCAAGTGAGTGAGATCAGGGAAAAGCGGGGGGGGAGGGAGAGAGAGGGGTTGTGAGTGAGTGGGAGTGATGAAAGGGGTTGAGCCGGGGCAAGGAAGAGTTTTTTGGGGACGCAAAGGACTTATTTTTGGAGTGAAGCTCGTGTGGCATTCCGCAAAACATTTTGATAATTTTATGTGCATGTGCATGAATGTCTGCAGGTGGAAAGATGCAGGTATGGACGGAATGCTCTCAAACCCCATCGACGAGGCTCAACTGCTTACGGTGGTTACAAAGCTATTTAAGCCTGCTGATTTGCATGCATAAGCATGGACCAGCGTGTTACTATATTGTACAACCAGCTGTCTTATTGCTCAGATCTCACATTATCATTATTATTTGGCTAAATGTAATGCCCAACAGATAGTCTCTGTTACAATTCGCTAAAATGTCCACTCGTCTTTTCATAATTTTGAAATTTCAACACGATTCTGCCATAAGAAGGCCCAGCCATCCCACGATTCCGATGTTTGTTTCTGATTGGTGGCACGGAAGCGTCAGCCCGACGAGCTCAAGGCTCCATCATCCCCAGGTTCCAAGTTTTCAAGGCTAGGTAATCTGACGGTGGAGATACAAGGTTCAGAGATCCAACGAATGGAGCTAATGAACCACCACACACCAAACCAGGCTTGCTCTCGATTGTTTCCTCATTTTCTTTCTCCCGCCATTCCGAAACTTGCAACCCGAAAAGGGAGGGGAGTCCCTGCAAGCATTTCCAACAACTGAGCCAAATCATATTGCTGCACTCTTGTCCCTCGTTCACAATCGCTTAGCTTGCTGATCTACTATCGCTGTTCTTATTGCTGCGTGATTACGCGCGGCGACGTCCGTTGTTTGGCGGTGGAAGGAGTAGCGGAGCAATGGACGTGGAGGAGGTGATAGAAGTCAAGGAAGTTGTGTCTAAAGTGAAGGGCAAGCAGTCGAAGGCGACGAATGGCCGCTCAGCGACTGGAACGAACGAAACTCGAACGCGACAGGCGAAGGCGATGAATCGATGCAGTGTGACTAAATCGAAGGGAGAAAGCAAGAATGTGAAGGAAGATATTGTGACTGAACCGAAGGGCCGCGGCAGCAGGCGCGCCAAGGCTGAGGATGATGCCGTCGAAGACAAGGGCGGCGTAAAACGCGCGAAGGAAAATGGTGTGGTGGGAGAAAAGGGTGGCGGCAAACGCTCAAAAGAGAGCACCGCGGTCGAAGAAAACGGCGTCGTGAAGCGCGTAACGGAAAACGGCGTGGTAGGAGAAAAGGGCGGGGGCAAACGTTCGAAGGAGTCCACCGCGGTGGAAGAGAAAACAGGGACGAAGCGCGCCAAGGTGAACAACGGCCGCAGCGTCAGCCGTGTGGAGGCTCCACGTCAGCCCAAGGCAGAGAAAGGGGGTAAGGGAAAACCTCCACGTCAGCCCAAGGAAGAAAAAGGGGCGAACGGGAAGGCTTCAGGTCAGCTCAAAGGAGCGGAAAAAGAGGCGAAGAAGGCGCCTGGGAAGGCGAGGAAGCGCGGCAAGGCTCCAGCGATCGACGACGACATGATTCAAGTGAAGCAGGCTCCGCTCGCCGACTCAGGTGCGATGCAGACTCTGCTCGTGAATTCAGGTGCGACGTAGACTTCGCTGATCGACAGACGTACGCCTTGCACGCTCTGAATCTCGCTGGCGAACCGTATCAACACACACGCATTAGCTTATTAAGTCATCACTTGTATCGCCACTCTAACCTCCCTCCCTTCCGCAAACTGCCTCTGTCCTCCTTCCGATCTGCGCAGAGGAAGCTGCGATCGTGCTCACGCACCCGTCGGATCCAGCAGCCGCAGCCGCGGCGGCGGCGGCGGCGGAGAAGAAGGCGCCGGTGCGGCAGCTGCTGGACTTCGTGTTTCACGACGCGGACGGCGCGCTCATGCCGCTCGACAGCTTCGATGCGCTGGCGGCGCGCGGGGAAGGTCTCTTCGCGACGGGCGTCATTCTCCCCGAGACCGCCGCGCTGCGCCATATGGAGGTGAGGCGAGCGTCCGCCGCCCTGCGCTGTATCGAGGGAAGATGGGCGCCCGCACCCTGCGCTGTGGAGGTGGCCAGTCTCGCGGCGTACCTTTTGTTTTTATTTTCTCCCCGTGGCCCTCACTCTGTGCCATATAGATGAAGATAAGTGTAAGCCACCCTGCTCTGTACCTTCATAAGTGTCGCGTATGAGACACATGTTGACCTGGTGTTGCTGTTCGTTGCCCCGTGCTCTGTTACTCGGTAACCAGGGTTACAGGTGCGAGGCGTTCGGGCCCATTGACGGGTGGTACATCGACGGTTACGAGAAGGCGAACACGGCGGCGCGCATCATGATCACCACGGACGCTGCCACGTACGTCTGCTGCCGCCCCGCCGCCCAGCAGAAGAAAGACTTCACTCCGCTGCAGGTAAACGATTGACTCAGCTCTAGGTACTGTGCGACTTTTGAGACGTCTCAAAAGTCGCCAAGCAGAAGAAAGACTTCACCCCGCTTTAGGTGAACGCTTCACTGAAGTCCAGGTACTGTGCGTGGATGGGGAACGTGAGTGTGGTCTGGGGGCCATTTAAGAGACGCCATTAAAAACTTATTCTCAAAACATGTTATTTCTTAAATTGTTATCCTCGTCACGATCCAGGAGACGCTCACACGTTCCTCTACTTCAGACGCTCCTCCCATTCCTGGACGTTCCTCGTTCCTTTCACCTTCCCCGCCCCTCTTCTCTGAACAGGACAAGGCCAATCTGAGCCTGGAGGTATTCAGGGCATTTTCCAAGCTGGACCGGGGCGAGCCCACTCTCTCCCTGCCAAAGGTGGTGGCGCGTGCTTCAAGCTCTTACCCCGTTTCTCCCCATTCCCGTTTCCCTCCCCCTTCCAAACAGGACAAGGCCAATCTGTGCGTGGAGGTTTTCAGAGCCCTTTCCAAGCCGGACGGGGGCGACCCTACCATTTCCCTGCCAGAGGTGGTGGCTCGCGTGTCAAGGGCGCTGGGGCGGCCGTGCAGGGACGACCTGGTGGCGGCGCATGCATTTGTGGTGCAGCAGCTATGCGGGCTGGACGAGGACGCGGATGAAGACGACCAGCTGTTCTCAGGGCTGCCTGCGCTAGAGTGAGTCCGTGTGCCTGCGTGTGTGCCCCGCTTCTGAGGCGCCTCAAAAGTCGTGTGTGCCCCGCTTCTTGAGGTAATTACTTGATTTCGGGTGGGTCAATACAACACAGCTACTGCCAGCGCATGTGCTTGTGGTGCAGCAGCTGTGCGGGCTGGACGAGGACGCGGATGAAGGTGACCAGCTGTTCTCAGGGCTGCTTGCGCTCGAGTGAGTCTGTGTGTGCGTGTGTGATCGAGTGTATGTGTTCCACTTCCTGTGGTGAAATGCTCAATTGACTTCCCAGCAGCTGTGCGGGCTGGACGAGGACGCGGATGAGGACGACCAGCTGTTCTCATTGCTGCCTGCACTCGAGTGCGTTTGTCCTTGGGTGCGTGTCTGCCAGTGTGAGTCGCTTCACTTGCTGATTCAATTCATTGGGTCAATTTATGACAGCAGTTGGTGGAGGCCCATGTGTTTGTGGCACAGAAGTTGTGTGGGCTGAAATAGAAGGTGGTGAGACAGGCAGCCCTCCGGAGCATAGTGGCAGCAAGGCAGCTCACACCTTTCCCTGAATCTTCTATTCCCACTGTCTCTTCCATCACCCCCGAAAGGTCTCTGAAGGAAGAGGAAGTCAAACAAGCAGCTGTCCGAGCATAGTGGCAGGCAGGTAGCTCATCTTCTTCCCCTTGCCTTCTTGTCTCCCATTTCCTCCCCTTCTCCGATCCCCCTAAAGGTCTCTGAAAGAGGAGGGAGCCAAGCACGCAGCTGTCCGGAGCATTGTGGAAGCCAGGCAAGCCAGCGCCAAGGAACACACGGGCAAGAAACCAGCTGCTACAAACGGAGCCCTCGTTATAAGAGACACCGCTGGCGGTAGCAGCAGCAGCAGCAAGGCCGGCGTGGGAGCAAGTGCGGGTGTTGACGACGACGAGTTGGCTAGGCTGGTAGCGGAAGAGGAAGAGAAGGAAGCAGAGGCGAAGAGAGGGGGTGGGCGGAGGAAGGGGGCTGGGGGCGGCCGTGGGCAGGAGCGGTATTTGAAGATCAACGAGAAGGAGCTGGCAGATGACTACCCGCCTCCCAGATACTACAAGGTAGGCTGAGCGATGAGTGGGGAAGGAATTGATTCGGCCCAGAGATACCACCGAGTACCATGGACGCCGAGTGAAGAGTTATAAGGAAGGGATGGAGGCCGTAGCGGGCAGGAGAGTTATTTGAAGATCAACGGGGAGCTGGCGGATGGCTACTCGCCCTTGAAATATTACCAGGTAGGCTGGGCAAGAAATGAAGGGACATACCTGTCTCCAAGATACTACAAGGTAGGCTCTGACAGCCTGTCTCTTCCCCCTCTTCCCCGCTCCACTCCCTCCCTTGCCTCTCTTCCCTCCAGGTTCCTTCATTCCACCCTCCCACATAGCGTGGACGAGGAGACAGACGAGTTCCTCCTTTTCACCAACGCCACTGCTGACCCCTGGCTGTCTCGTCCCCTTTCCCCCGTCCACTCCCTCTGATCCCCCTTGTTTCCTCTGTCAACCCTAGAGCGTGGACGAGGAGACAGACGAGTTCTTCCTATTAGACGATGCTGCTGCTCCACTGCACCCCGACGACCTCCCGCGCCGGCGCCTGGACGACTGGGCTCTCTACGACGACCAGCTGCGCTTCGTGCCTCTCGAGCTGCTGCCCATGCTGCCCCCTGCTCTGTCTACCCCCTCCTCACCGCTGTGCCCTCCTGTTCTCCCGCCCTATACCCCTTTCCCCCACTCCCGGCCCCCTTCCCCTTTACTTCTGCCTTCATACCACCCACCCCAGAGCGTGGACGAGGAGACAGACGAGTTCCTGCTATTCGATGACGCTGCTGCTCCACTTTACCCTCACGACCTGCCTCGTCGTCGCCTGGACGACTGGGCTCTCTATGACGACCAGCTGCGTTTCGTGCCTCTAGAGCTGCTGCCCATGCTGCCCCCTGTATTGCTCACTGCTAACCCCTGTCGACTCTTTCCTTTCTTCCCCCGTGCACTCCGTCTGCTGCACTTGTTGCGCCCACCCTAGAGTGTGGACGAGGAAACGGACGAGTTCCTCCTGTTCGACGATGCCGCTGCTCCATTGCACCCCGACGACCTGCCTCGGCGTCGCCTGGACGACTGGGCTCTCTACGACGACCAGCTGCGCTTCGTGCCTCTCGAGCTGCTGCCCATGCTTCCGGGAGTTGCCGCCGACTCCCTCGTGTTTGGGTCTGGCGTTATGATGGAGGACGATGGCAGTGGGTTCAGCCTGGACGACCCTACTGTTGAATCCGCTGGCACTACTCGGGGTGACGGTGCTAGTGGTTCTTCAGGTGGCGCTTCAGGTGGTTCTTCAGGTGGTTCAGGTGCTTCAGGGAGCGGATCCGGGTCAGGATCTGATCCTGCAGCAGCGGATGGTGGTGATGGTAGTGGTGGTGGTATTCGGGTGTATCTGAGCGCAATCAAGGAGTGGATGATTGAATTCGGGGCGGGGATGCTTTTCGTGACCATTCGAACCGATGGGGCATGGTACAGGCTCGGCCGCCCCTGTGCCGCCTATGTCCCCTGGTACCGCCCGGTTCTGCGCACGGCCAGGCTGGCAATCCGAGTCATCGAGATGCTGAGTGGCGAGTCCCGGGCGGCGCGCTTGTCTTTTCTGGACGTGGTGACGAAGCTGGCGCAGGAGCGGGTGGCGGAGAAGCAACAGAAGAGCGGCAAGGCGCCGGCGCGCGGGGACTTAGCTAAGTGTTTTGCTGAAATGGAGCGGTTTTTAGTGGTGCATGGGAATATTATCCTGCAGCAGTTTAGAGAGTACCCGGTAGAGACGATCCGCCGGAGCCCCTTTATAAGCACGCTGCGAGAAAAGATGGAGATGCGGTCGCATACAGAGCTAAAGGTGAATAAGAAAAAGGCTGCTATGATTGTCGCAAGCAGAGGTAGCAATGGGCGTGGTGGGGATGACGGTGGGAGTGCGAGAAACGCCAATCCTGCTGCGGCTTTAAGGCCGGATGCTAGTAAGAGGAAGCCCATGCGTGCGACCACGACTCAGCTGGTCCACAGGATCTGGAAGGAGTATTACGAACGGTTCGGATTGAAGCGGGATGAGGTGGGGGCGGGGAAAGGGGGGAGTGAGGGAGAGGAGAATGGGAAGGTGGAGGGTGAGGAGGTGGAGGATGAGGAGGAAGGAGGTGAGTTGAAGGATGGGGATAGTGAGGATGAGGAGGAGGTTGAGGAGGTAGTGGGTGCGAGCCAAGCAAAGGGGAGTAAAGCGAAGGGGATTCAAACGAAGAGCGCCGAAGCAGATAAGGAGACCGGTGCGACCGATAAGGATAAGGAAAAAGCAGCTGCTGCTGGTGGTGGGGCTGAGAAGGGGAAGGAGACTGCTGCTGGTGGAACCAAGGCGAGAGCAGTTAAGGATTCCACTCAGGGCGTGACATGGGTGGGCACAAGCACAGGCCGCACAGAGGAAGACCATCCTGCCTACGCGGCAGCCTCAGTGTGGGGGTTAGAAGTCAAGGCAGGGATCGTGGTGCTTGCAGCTGTGGCAGAGGGTGACGATGAGGGGGACGAGGGGCGGTGGAGGGAGGAGGAGGAGAGGTTGGTTCTGGTGGAGTATATGTGGGATGAGGGGGGCGTGGGGGGTGGTGCGGGCAGGAGGAGGGGCGAGGGGATGAAGGCGCATGGGCGGGTGATGGTGAGGGGGAGTGAGACGGTGCTGGGGAATGCGGCGGACGAGTGGGAGCTGTTTGTGTCGGAGCACTGCGTTGACTTCCCCCTCACTGCCATCCGGTAAGTTGCCTGGAAGTGGGTCAAGTTGCCAGCAAATGCGGTAAGCTGCAGGTATTGAGTATCGAGTATCAAAGGTGGTGGACGAGTGGGAGCTGTGTGTTTCGGAGCACTGCGTTGACTTCCCCCTCACTGCCATCCGGTAAGCTCTCCCCTCACTTCGCCCCCAAATTGAGGCCTTAGTATGTTGTTCTTCACTCCCTCAAAGTCCACCTGTTTCGTGTCTTCATGCGCGCGAGTATATTGGCATTTGCAGAGTCGATTCAAAAATCGCCTCATTGGCATTTGCAGAGTCGATTCAAAAATCGCCTCATTGGCATTTGCAGAGTCGATTCAAAAATCGCCTCATTGGCATTTGCAGAGTCGATTCAAAAATCGCCTCATTGGCATTTGCAGAGTCGATTCAAAAATCGCCTCATTGGCATTTGCAGAGTCGATTCAAAAATCGCCTCATTGGCATTTGCAGAGTCGATTCAAAAATCGCCTCATTGGCATTTGCAGAGTCGATTCAAAAATCGCCTCATTGGCATTTGCAGAGTCGATTCAAAAATCGCCTCATTGGCATTTGCAGAGTAGATTCAAAAATCGCCTCATTGGCATTTGCAGAGTCGATTCAAAAATCGCCTCATTGGCATTTGCAGAGTCGATTCAAAAATCGCCTCATTGGCATTTGCAGAGTCGATTCAAAAATCGCCTCATTGGCATTGGCAGAGTGGTTCTCAGTTATTTCATTAGCAGACCCATCCACATGCTCTTTCTGTGCACATCTGTTATGTTCCCAGTGAGCTCGCAGCAGTGACGCATTTTGACTCAACTCAAAACTCGACCCATTTACATGTTCTTCCTGTGCTCGACCATGGGGAGCATGTAAATGGCCATGCACCGACCCATGGCAAGCTGTTCCTCAGTGAGCTGGCAGCAGTGACGCATCGGAAGCAGCCATGGGGGGCGGAGCACAGGCTGAGGAACATGGAGGAGCACGAGAGGGAGAGGGAGCGAATGGAGAAGCTGTTTAAGGAGACTGCATTCACGTGCTCTTCCTTTGCAATTCTGTTTCTTTTCACAATCTCTCAGGGAGCTGGCAGCAGTGACGCATCGCAAGCTGCCATGGGGGGCGGAGCACAGGCTGAGGAACATGGAGGAGCACGAGAGGGAGAGGGAGCGAATGGAGAAGATTTTCAAGGAGACCGGGCAGCGCTCCTTCTTCTACCGCCTCCTCTACAACCCCTCCCGTGGCGGCTTTTTCGACCTGCCCAAGAGCCTGGGCAGCGGAACGGGCAGATGTTGCTCGTGTGACGAGGACACGGAGAGGGATAGGATGATGGAAGTGCGGAGGCTGGGGGATGGGGAGGAGGGATTTGCTTACTTAGGGAAGGAGTTTCGGGTTCATGACTTTGCGTTCTTGCATCCGGCAGCAGTGGGGGAAGAGAGCGAGGGGAAGAAGGTCAAGATAGCGAAAGGAGGGCGAAACATTGGACTGCGGGCCTGGCCTATAGGGCAGATTGAAAAGTTTGTAGCTCCGACCGGTGGGGCAAAGGAGGTGCCTGAAAAGATGGTGGTGAGGAGGTTTTTCCGCCCTGAAGATGTGCCAAATGAGGGTGATGAGATCGCGTATAACGCACACATCCGAGAGGTGAGTGCTTCTCACCGACATGCAGTGTTTCTCACTTTGCTGTAAGTCAAGACACTTCAAAAGTCAGACTTTTGAGGCGCCTCAAAAGTCTTCTCACCGACATGTAGTGTTTCTCACTTTGCTGTAAGTCAAGACACTTCAAAAGTCAGATGTGCCGAATGAGGGTGATGGGATCGCGTATACGGCACACATCCGAGAGGTGAGTGAGTACCGCTTCCATATCCACTAGTCGACGGTGATGTATACAATTTCCCTTCCCCTTTGTTTTCTAATACTGTCACATGGTCCGTCATTGTGATAACATGCAATACAACGAATGGCAGCAAGTTTTCTCTTGTTCCTCATTTTTTTGCCTACATGCAACGCAACCTAATGTTTTTTCAATCACTGCACTCCACGACAGGTGTACTACAGTGAAACGCTAATCACTGTAGATGTCACGGACGTGATCGGCAAGTGCCGCGTGCAGCGGGGCAAACCCACAGCAGCAGCAGCAGCGGCAGCGGCAGGGACAGAGGCGGATCACTCGGGCTTTAACATCGGGGGGTGTCTGGAGGAGGAGCTGATGGGCGGCGACTTTGTCTTCTTCTGCGACCGCCTTCTCAAAGATGGCTCTGTCCGGATGGTACAGTGCAGCCTCCCCTCTGCTATCAGCCGTACTTCTATTGTACTCCTCTGTTATCCCTTGGTGTTGGGTATTCCCAGAAGCTGAGTGTGCTTCGACCTCTGCTCTGCTAGAGCATTTGTCCTCTATCTAGCCTTTCCCCTGTAGCTTCATGTGTGTCTGCTCTTGAGGGAAACAATCGCCATTGAAAGCATCAGACGATCCCAAGAGGGCAACACGTGCCTCTTGATGGTTGTTTGTTTCTCTCTGCCCGACTGGCTCTTCTGCCTCCCTTGCTTCCTTTCCCACTTCCTTTCCCAACACTCCTGCAGTTGCCCCCTGGGATTCGCTTCGGCCCTTCTTCAGCAGCAGCAGCAGCAGCAGCAGCAGCAGCATCACCAACCAAGGACAAGGGCAAGGGCAAGGGCAAGGGCAAGAGCGTTGCTGCCGATGACGACGCCGACGCGGAAGCTGCAGCAATAGAGGCAGCAGCAGTGGCTAGAGCCCGGGCGAAGGGCAAGGGGAAAGCAGCTGCAGAGGAGCCAGACGAACCCACCAGCAAGACTGCAGCTGGGGCGACGCAGCAGCAGGGAAAGCAGGAGAAGCAGGAGGAGAAGGAGAATCAGGGGAAGCAGGAGGGGCAGCAAGGGGCAGCAAACGGCAGCAAGGGCGGTGCTGGTGTGCTGCGGACGTTGGATATATTCGCGGGGTGTGGCGGGCTGTCGGAGGGGCTGCAGCGGTCGGGGGCGTGTGAGACGCGGTGGGCCATCGAGTACGAGCACCCTGCTGCCGAGGCGTTTCAGAAGAACCACCCCGAGGCCGCTGTCATCTGCGCCAACTGCAACGTCGTTCTCAGGTGAGCTGGGTTACTTGGTGCTTCGGTAAGCGTGAGCGTGGGCAGCCGATGGTTGGCCGGCCCAGTGCTGGTGGGGGGTGATGCTGCATGGACGGAATGTGATTGCGTGGGGGTGTGGGGTGGAGGGGTTGGTGGAGTTCATGACCTGCATGTATGCACCTGTATCGGAGGGGCTGCAGCGGTCGGGGGCGTGTGAGACGCGGTGGGCCATCGAGTACGAGCACCCTGCTGCCGAGGCGTTTCAGAAGAACCACCCCGAGGCTGCTGTCATCTGCGCCAACTGCAACGTTGTGCTTAGGTAAGTGGTGCTTGAGTAAGCGGGTGGGGTTATGTGGTAGTTTGTGGTGGTAAGATGTTCTGTGGTATGGTGCTTAGGTAAGCAGGTGGGGTTATGTGGTAGTTAATGGTGGTAACATGTTATGTGCTGCGGTGCTTAGGTAAGCGGGCAGGGTTACATGTTTTCTAAGTGAAGGGGATATGGAGATGCCATCGAGGGACAGTAGTAGAAACACGGTGCCCCTGTCTCCACTCCTTTCTCTTTCCCCTCCTTATTCGTTCCCCTCGTTATTCGTTCCCCTCCTTATTCTTTCCCCTCCTTATTCTTTCCCCTCCTTATTCTTTCCCCTCCTTATTCTTTCCCCTACCTCTCTCGCTAATTGTCTTGCCTACTTCCTTTGCCCCAGACAGTGGCAACCTCTCGCTCCCATTTCCCCCTTCCCCCTAATATACATGTATACATATTAATATATATAAATATTAATATGTATATATACATATTTCCCCCTTTTCCCCCTCTCCCATGTCCTCTCCTCCCCAGGTCTATGATGGAGCAAGCAGGGCAGCTGGGCGACTGTGTGTCAACGCCAGAGGCGGATGAAGCAGCAGCAAAGATGGCCGAGGCGGAGAAGGGCAAGTTGCCTCTGCCCGGCCAAGTTGACTTCGTGAATGGGGGCCCGCCCTGCCAGGTGAGTGGGGCTCGCAGAGGCCCGCCCTGCCAGGTACGCGGGTTTCAGGTGGCACTTGCTCAGGTGTGGTGAGTGGTAGGAGTATGGCCGAGGCAGAGAGGGGCAAGCTGCCGAGTTGACTTTTGAGTCGACTCAAAAGTCAACTCTGCCTGGCCAAGTGGACTTCGTGAATGGGGGCCCGCCCTGCCAGGTACGCGGGTTTCAGGTGGCACTTGCTCAGGTGTGGTGAGTGGTAGGAGTATGGCCGAGGCAGAGAGGGGCAAGCTGCCGAGTTGACTTTTGAGTCGACTCAAAAGTCAACTCTGCCTGGCCAAGTGGACTTCGTGAATGGGGGCCCGCCCTGCCAGGTACGCGGGTTTCAGGTAGCACTTGCTCAGGTGTGGTGAGTGGTAGGAGTATGGCCGAGGCAGAGAGGGGCAAGGTGCCTCTGCCCGGCCAAGTGGACTTCGTCAATGGGGGCCCGCCCTGCCAGGTGAGTGGGGCTCGCAGAGGCACTTATTCAGGTGCGGACTGTGCGGTGAGCGGTAGCAGGGAAGTTTTGAGACGTCTCAAAACTGTGTGGTGAGCGGTAGCAGGGAAGATTGTCGAGGCAGAGAGGGGCAAGGTGCCTCTGCCCGGCCAAGTGGACATCGTCAATGGGGGCCCGCCCTGCCAGGTACGCACTTATTTATGTGAGCAAACTGCCAAGTTACACGTGTGGTGAGTGGGAGGAGGAGGATGGTCAAGGCAGAGGGGCTGCTGTGCCGCTCTGCGTGGCCATGCGGGCTTCGCCAACGAAGGCCACATGTGGGCTTCATGTGGCCTGCCCTGCCAGATAGATGGGCTTTGGTGGCATCTTTTCAGGTGCGCTGACTGGTAGGAGGATTTTTTAGTCGACTAAAAAATTGGCCCGCCCTGCCAGATGGATGGGCTTTGGTGGCACCTTTTCAAGTGCGCTGACTGGTAGGAGGGTTGGCCGAGGCAAAGAGGGGCAAGCTGCCCCTGCCTGGCCAAGTGGACTTCGTGAATGGGTGCCCGCCCTGCCAGGTACGCGGGATAAACCGCTTCAACCAGAACCTTTTGACCTCCTTTCCTTCCTTGCTCCATTGAAATGGTTGAAGGAGCAGTGATTGAAGGAGCAGTGGTTGAAGGAGCAGTGATTGAAGGAGCAGTGGTTGAAGGAGCAGTGATTGAAGGAGCAGTGGTTGAAGGAGCAGTGATTGAAGGAGCAGTGGTTGGAGGAGCAGTGATTGAAGGAGCAGTGGTTGAAGGAGCAGTGATTGAAGGAGCAGTGGTTGGAGGAGCAGTGATTGAAGGAGCAGTGGTTGGAGGAGCAGTGATTGAAGGAGCAGTGGTTGAAGGAGCAGTGATTGAAGGAGCAGTGGTTGAAGGAGCAGTGGTTGAAGGAGCAGTGGTTGAAGGAGCAGTGGTTGAAGGAGCAGTGGTTGAAGGAGCAGTGGTTGAAGGAGCAGTGGTTGAAGGAGCAGTGGTTGAAGGAGCAGTGGTTGAAGGAGCAGTGGTTGAAGGAGCAGTGGTTGAAGGAGCAGTGGTTGAAGGAGCAGTGTGAGATGATCCTCCTTCCTTCATCCACTTATCCCTTCTACTTATCTCCGCCCCTTTTTCCTGACTCCTCCCTCCTTTCCTTACCTCAGGGCTACTCCGGCATGAACCGCTTCAACCAGAACGCATGGAGCAAGGTGCAGTGTGAGATGTTCCTCACCGTCTCAGCCCCCATCCCTTTGACTGATTTCGTTTCCTCTACCCTTTTCGCCTCATCCACTCCACTCTCAGGGTTTCTCCGGAATGAACCGCTTCAACCAGAACCCATGGAGCAAGGTGCAGTGCGAAATGATCCTCGCATTCCTCTCCTTCGCCGACTTCCTCCGCCCCAACTACTTCCTCCTCGAAAACGTGCGCAACTTTGTCTCCTTCAATGGGGCTCGGACTTTCCGCCTGGCTCTGAGGACACTGCTCGCCATGGGCTACCAGGTAGGCAGTATGTGCAATGCAAGCAAAGCACTAGTAATGTTCCCTTCTCCTCTGCAAGCACTAGTAATGTTCCCTTCTCCTCTGCAAGCACTTGTAATGTTCCCTTCTCCTCTGCAAGCACTAGTAATGTTCCCTTCTCCTCTGCAAGCACTTGTAATGTTCCCTTCTCCTCTGCAAGCACTAGTAATGTTCCCTTCTCCTCTGCAAGCACTAGTAATGTTCCCTTCTCCTCTGCACGCACATGTAATGTTCCCTTCTCCTCTGCAAGCACTAGTAATGTTCCCTTCTCCTCTGCAAGCACTAGTAATGTTCCCTTCTCCTCTGCAAGCACTTGTAATGTTCCCTTCTCCTCTGCAAGCACTAGTAATGTTCCCTTCTCCTCTGCAAGCACTTGTAATGTTCCCTTCTCCTCTGCACGCACTAGTAATGTTCCCTTCTCCTCTGCAAGCACTTGTAATGTTCCCTTCTCCTCTGCAAGCGCTAGTAATGTTCCCTTCTCCTCTGCAAGCACTTGTGATGTTCCCTTCTCCTCTGCAAGCACTAGTAATGTTCCCTTCTCCTCTGCAAGCACTTGTAATGTCCCCTTCTCCTCTGCAAGCACTTGTAATGTCCCCTTCTCCTCTGCAAGCACTAGTAATGTTCCCTTCTCCTCTGCAAGCACTTGTAATGTTCCCTTCTCCTCTGCACGCACTTGTAATGTTCCCTTCTCCTCTGCACGCACTTGTAATGTTCCCTTCTCCTCTGTGGATTGTAAGCACGCCCTCCTTTGTGGATTTCCTCCGCCCCAACTACTTCCTCCTCGAGAACGTGCGCAACTTCGTCTCCTTCAATGGCGCCCGCACCTTCCACCTCGCCCTTCGGACGCTACTCGCCATGGGCTGTCAGGTAGGCTCAAGCACTTGTAATGTTCCCTACTCATCCGCACACACTGCCTTCCCTTTGCCGACTTCCTCTCCGCCCCAACTACTTCCTCCTCGAGAACGTGCGCAACTTTGTCTCCTTCAATGGCACCCGGACCTTCCGCCTCGCCCTTCGGGCCCCACTTGCCCTGGGCTATCAGGTACGCCATTCATCACACCCTTCAGGTGCTAACATCACAACACCATCACAACACCATCACACCACCATCACACCACCATCACACCACCATCACACCACCATCATCTGGGCAGCAGCTCCCGCCGTGTTATTGAGAATCTCAAAATCTCCCAACCCTCTCTCCAGGTCCGCTTCGGTGTGCTACAGGCAGGCAACTTCGGCATATCTCAGTCGCGCACGAGAGCCTTCATCTGGGCAGCAGCGCCAGGCCACGTGCTCCCCGAGTGGCCGCAGCCTCTGCACGTCTTTGCCTCCTCCCAGCTCTCCGTCCCCCTCGCCACCTCCACTGCTGGCGGTGCCTCTGCTGCTAATGGTGCTGCTGGTGGCGCTGCTGGTATTGGTCAGTTCAGCACAGCTAGCTCGCTGGCCAATGAGGCATGTCCACGTGGCCCTGCAGTGGGGGCGCCGCTGCGGTCGATCACGGTGCGGGATGCAATGGGGGATCTGCCAAGCATTGAGAACGGGGCAGAAGAGGAGGAGATGGAGGTGAGTCACAGGGTGGGAGTGGTGAGTGGCGAATGGGGGTTGGGGGTTGTGCGCTGCTGGAAACATGCAGTGCGGAATGCGGTCTGGAGTCTGGGATTCGGCAGGGGATGGGATGCCGGATGCGATGGGGCGGATTGAGAATGGGGCAGAAGAGGAGGAGATGGAGGTGAGCTGCGGGGTGCTGGTGGTCTGTAGGTTTTAGAGAAACCTCTAAGCTACACTTAGTTCTCTCACAACGCACGCCATCCTGATAACTTGCATGTGCAGGATCACAACCTCATGGCTGGCAGCACGTGTAGAAAGAAGTGTTTTGAGACGTCTCAAAACAACGCACGCCATCCTGATAACTTGCATGTGCAGGATCACAACCTCATGGCTGGCAGCACGTGTAGAAAGAAGTGTTTTGAGACGTCTCAAAACAACGCACGCCATCCTGATAACTTGCATGTGCAGGATCACAACCTCATGGCTGACAGCAAGTGTAGAAAGAAGTGTTTTGAGACGTCTCAAAACAACGCACGCCATCCTGATAACTTGCATGTGCAGGATCACAACCTCATGGCTGACAGCACGTGTAGAAAGAAGTGTTTTGAGACGTCTCAAGACAACGCACGCCATCCTGATAACTTGCATGTGCAGGATCACAACCTCATGGCTGACAGCTCACCCTCCTTCCCCCCCTTACCCCCCACTTCCTTAGCATACTCGTTTCTGGTTTCAAGAAGCCTCAAAACTCAAGCGCTTGCCAACACTCTCCCTCCCTCCCCACTTCCCCATTCAATTCCACAGTACTCCTCCAACCCCTCCTCCTGGTACCAGAGGAGCATTCGATCACAGCAAGCCAGGCTCCTAGACCACACATGCAAAGGCATGAACGAACTCAACCTCAAACGCTTCCAATGCTCTCCCTTCCCTCCCCCTCTCTCCTTCCCACCCTCCCCACTCCTCCCCTCTGCAGTATTCGTCAGAGCCCTCATCCTGGTTCCAGCGGAGCATCAGATCACAGCAATTGAAGCTCCTAGACCACATTAGCAAGCGGATGAACGAACTCAACTTGAAGCGCTGCCAGCACATCCCCAAACGCCCAGGGGCTGACTGGCGGGACCTGCCAGATATCAAGGTACGAGCTTATATAACCTACCCTTGCTGCCATGCGGATTCTCGGTGTGCATGTATGTATCAGTGGGGCTGCTAGCCCTCATGTGTATGCACACTCAACTCAAACTCAAAGCTGCCAGCACATCATCCCCAGACGCCCAGGGGCGGACTGGCGGGACCTGCCAGATATCAAGGTACAATTATGAAGCACTGTACGCACACAGGCGATCGGTCGGTTCCTGTGGCCCCTCACAACCCAGCTGCTAGTCCGCACGTGCATGGACTCTCAGCCCAACCTCCCTCAAACGCAGCCAGCACTGCACATCCCCAGGCGCCCAGGGGCGGACTGGCGGGACCTGCCCGATATCAATACACAAACCTGCCCGATATGAATACACAACCCTGCCCGATATGAATACACAAACCTGCCCGATATCAATGTAAGATAAGAAAGGACTCGCACAAACCTGTCCCGTTTCATTTCTCTCTCCTCGACTCTCTTGGTTCCTGGATCGTCCCTCCTTGTCATAAGCACTGACAATAGAACTGGAGGAATCCCTCTGGGGACCGCTTTGTAGCATTGTCAGGGATCCTTTACCCTCAACTTCCCTTCCCTTTTGTTCCTTTCCCTCTCTACCACAGGTGCGGCTGTCGGATGGGCGCGAGGGGACCTGGTGCCGTGGTGCCTGCCCAACACCATGGAGCGCCACAACAACTGGAAGGGGCTGTTTGGGGCAGGCAGCTCGATTGGAACTTCCTTTCTTACCCTTTAACCCACCTTCCCCGTGCCATCCCTACCACTGGTCCGGCTGTCTGATGGCCGTGAAGCAGACCTGGTGCCGTGGTGCCTACCCAACACCATGGAACGCCACAACAACTGGAAGGGGCTGTTTGGGCCAACTTTACAACACTGCAGTCTCGTTTCGTTCCTTGAACTCCTATTCCCTCTTCTTTCTTCTTTCACACCACAGGTGCGGCTGTCGGATGGGCGTGAAGCAGACCTGGTGCCCTGGTGCCTACCCAACACCATGGAGCGCCACAACAACTGGAAGGGGCTGTTTGGGCGGCTGGACTGGGCGGGCAACTTCCCCACTTCCGTGACAGACCCCCAGCCCATGGGGAAAGTGGGCATGTGCTTTCACCCCGAGCAGGACCGCATCGTCAGCGTGCGCGAGTGCGCGCGATCGCAGGTAAGGGAGGGGGCGTGTGACAAGGGTTCTGGTGTTCTGGGATGTCCCAAACTTCTAAGATTGTTCTGGGGGATTGGTGTGGGTGGGTGAGAGCCTGATGAAGCAAGTTTTGAGGCGCCTCAAAAGGCGTGTGACAAGGGATCTGGTGTTCTGGGATGTCCCAAACGTCTAAGATTGTAGTGGGGGGGATTGATGTGGGCGAGAGCCTGATGAAGCAAGGGGTGACTGGGCGGGCAACTTCCCCACGTCAGTGACAGACCCTCAACCCATGGGGAAAGTGGGCATGTGCTTTCATTCCGGTTGGTGGAGAGCTCTTTCTTCTTTTGAGGCGCCTCAAAAGTCTTCACAGGGTGAAGATTTTCCTTCTCACCAATCAGCTATTTCTTGCTTTGATTTCCCTGTTCCTACTTTTACCCCGTGTTCTCACAACTACCCCCCCCCCCCCCCCCCCCCCCCCCAAATCCCGTTTAGCTTGCGCTCACAACGCCTCCAAACCCTTGGTGCTGCTTCGCTGGCAACATCCAGGCCAAGCACGATCATCTCAACTAACACTTTCCCATGCTTTGTGTTCCCAATGTCCCAAAAATCGTTTAGGGCTTCCCCGACTGGTATCGCTTCGCTGGCAACAATCAGGCCAAGCATCGCCAGATCGGCAACGCTGTTCCCCTGCCTTGACGTGCCCAATCCCCACAATCCCAATTACCTTTGTGTTCCCCATGCCCCCAACCTTTCAGGGCTTTCCCGACTGGTACCGCTTCGCTGGCAACATCCAGGCCAAGCATCGTCAGATCCGCTCTCCCTCCCATTTGTGTTCCCAAATACCCCCCAACCCCCAACCTTTCAGGGCTTCCCGGACTGGTACCGCTTTGCTGGCAACATCCAGGCCAAGCACCGCCAGATCGGCAACGCTGTTCCCCCGCCTCTCGCCCTGGCTCTGGGCTTGCAGCTGAGAAAGGCTCTCCTGGAGACGAGGAAGATCGATGGAGCAGAGGAAGACGGGAAGAGTAACGATGAGGCCAAGTAATGGGATGTGAAGGATACGTAATGCATCTCGCCCTGGGTTTGGGCTTGCAGCTGAGGAAAGCTCTCTCAAGAGTGTTTGATGCACTTGCGTCTGTCAAGGCGTCTTTAGACAGAGTCACCTCTGCAGCATGGGGGGAGTATTATAAGGGGAAGAGGAGAGGCTCGTGCTCAAGTGTGTTTGATACGATATGCTTGTGGGACGAGTTCAGATTGGATTGGATTCTATTGGATTAGGCCATGGACCATGGTTCTGAAGCTGGAGCTGATGAATAAGGACCATGCTCCACAGTAAACGAGTTTTACGGTACCCCTTACAGTAAACGAGTTTCATATTGTTACGGATCCAACTTGCAAGAACCAGGTATTGGGTGGCAGGCAGATGGACAAATGACTACCGTATTCCATTATAAACAGCACGCTCCTGTCAGATTTCTCAACAATCTACTGTAGCTGCAGAGCCGTGACATGACAACCTGGGGAAATACGGTACCTGGAGCTAGAGCTACAGGGACTTGCACATGCTGCCTGCCTGCCAGCCCTGCCCACACCATACTCCATCTCTTCACAATTTTTACCAGATTTCTGCCGCAGTATTCCATCATCAGCAGATGTCATCTCAACAAATACTGCAGCCATGGAAATGACACCCGCTGCAGTCTGCACGGCACGACACACACCACCTCCCTCTTTCCTTTCGCCCTCCCACCACCACCAACACAGCTCCCTAACTTCGCCTCACCTTCAGCACTAGCCTTCGCACAAGTCTGCAACACCCCATTCTCTGTACACACTCATGCCTCGGTACCGTGTATGCTTGTCCATCTGTGAAGCTTTTCCACCTCGGCAAAGCCACATGCACCTCTAACTGTAAAACCTCACCGTCTCTGCAAACCACCATAAATCTACGAAGCTTAACGCCTCCGCAATTGCTTCCTGTCCTCCTCAGGAATTACCAACCAATTCGACGAAAGCACCGCAAAGTTTTCCAAAAATTTCACGCCTCTGTCAAGCTCTTCCTCTCTTCCTCAGAAATTACCAACCAATTCGGCGACGGCACAGCACGCAGCCAACTAAAATCGTCCACGTGGGCCCACAGCCCGCCATCCACCGCCAGGTCAGCATCTTTCAAATCCGCCTCCAACCCGTCATACTCCCTACTATAAGGCGCGAATTTGACACCCTTAGAGTGCTCTATAAGCGGCCTGCTGCGCGTGCGAACATAGAAACCGGCGCGCTCTGTCTGGTGTATCCTCAACTGATGACTCGCAACTGCTACAGTGCTGCCAGACGCGTCCTCCACGTGGCAGGCTCCTGACACCGGGCAGAGGCTGACGTGGCAGTCGCGCACGTGGCGGAGGAAAACCGCGGAGAGGACACCGCGGACGGACACGTGGCAGTGGGAGAGGTGCTGGAGCGTGAGCTCGCCGCGTCTGTGTTGCTCCGGTGAGATCTGAATGTGCTCGTGGGAGCGGTGGGAGATGGAGAGAGAAGGGTGCGCGAGGCTGATTGGTGGGATGGCAGATGGGAACTTCGCGGACGAGAACTCGGCGGATGCTCCGGATTCTCCTGCTGCTCCTGCTGCTCCGGATGCTCCGCCTGCTGCGGATGCTGCTGTTTCTGCCGCCGCTTCTCCTCGCGCTGCTGCTGCTGCGGACGCCGCGTCTCCTCCTGATGCCGCTGTTGGCTCAACGCCGGAGGACGATGGCACCATTCCCGCTCTCCTCGGATCGCCCTCCTGCTCCACCTGAAAACCATCCACTGGCTGTAGCAACGAGAGAGATTTAGGCTGCTCGAGAGACTTCTGAGAAGACGAGGCGCCTTTACCTTCAGAAGAAGCTTTCTTTTGCCCTCTTGAGGAAAAGGCGAATCGTTTTTTCGGCTTCGAGGCGGATCGAGCTGTTTCTAGGTTGGCGCGAAGTGCTGCCACGCGTGACGTCATCTGCTCCACGTCACGCCGCGGGACCGACGGCGCGAAATGCGCTACTAGATCTTCCACCGCGCGCAGCCCTGCCACCGCCGCTTGATCCGCGTTCAATCCGGACCGTTGATTGCTTCCTGCATCGCCAACTTGCTGACTACTTTCCCCGCCGTTGATCCTCGACTGTGCAAATTCAGCAACGGAATCGGAATTTCCGGAACTCAAAGCTCGAATCGCGGCTTCCAGCGCGTCGCATTTCTCTCGAAAGGCTAGGAAGACGGACAGCTGGCCTTGCTCCTCGTCCATGTACGCGTGAGTGACGTGGCGGACACGAGGCTAGAACTATTCCGTCGAATGTAAAAGCAGGAAAATCTTAGACGAGGCTGAGGTGCGGAAGCCCCTGTGGTAATGGTGCGGAGCGGATGACGAAACAGATCGAGCAACAGTCATGAAAACCAAGACCTTTCAGGAGGAGATCCGTTAGAGAAGATCTGATGCAAGAGCGGTCTAAAGCGGTGAAGTAGTGAACCCGCTTTCCTCACCCGAGGTCGAGTTGTCGAAAATCCCCGACATGATAGCCATTGCAGCATCCACTATACTTTTAACAAGCTTCATGGATGGCACATGACATTCTACTATATCACTATAAAAAATGACCCACATCTGTAGCCGGGTTTCATTTTTTATTTAGGCGTAAATCTATAGATTTTATTATCTTTAGATTTTTGCGTTCCAATTAAGCAAGGGTAAAGAAAAGTATTTATCTGGCGGGTAGCCATGGAACACCACAAGTTCATTTGCTGTGTATTGAATAAGTGTTTCTAATGTGAGAACAAGTGTTAATGCATTCTCTACCACTCATGCAAAGCAAAGCATGCGCAAAGGATGCACAATTTAGCGTTTTCCAAGCTATTACAAGTTTGCAAAGCAGGATCTAGAACTCACTGCACCATTTTGCACCTTCTGGCTTTGAAACGGGGAATTGTTGCGTGCATTTGTACCGTGTACAGGGATGAATCGTCTTGGTTGTGGTCATCAACTCGGATTGAAAGTGCTTGGAAAGCTTGTTAGTGAACAAATATTTGAAGGGCATTATCTCTCACGATCCAGATACGCCTATCAACTTCCAAAACCAGAAAGGTGCCATGATCAACCACGCAGGCCCTTGAGCCAGGAAATGAAGCCTTTTTTAGGAGCTGCAGCAGCAAAGGAGAAAGGAAAAAACGTTGCAACAATTAGTGGGGGGCAAGCAGAATGTGACGAAATGACGTGGGAGAGTCAAAAAGATGTTGATGTCATGGTCACTAATGTGACGAAATGATGCGGGAAAGTGAAACAGATTTTGTCGTGGACACTAACGTGAATGTGATGGTCTATGAATGCCAAGGAAAGGAACGGACCTTATGATGCAGAGGAACAATCTTAAATGAAAAGGACCAAGCAGAATCGATGATGTGAGTGGGTTATGATGATGTGAAGTTAAAAATCTGACTTAATGTGATGACATGATGCATGCCACGCGAAGTCATCAATATATTTAACCATTATGGTCACGTGGGCCGCAGGGTACGTACGATCGGGTCGTTGGCAATCGTTGAGATAGAAGTCGATCCTGGCGTTGCATTGTTCCAGCGTCTCGTTTTCAGGCGAATTGCAATACCCGTTGCTTCTCATATTCTTCACCTCATCACACGTATAAAACCCTGCAGCCCATTCGAAAGGAAGAAAGGAGCAGGGGAGTGTGTGGGTAATTATTAAATCAGCACAAATATATACCCCAGCTACCTTAAAAAAAACAGTAACCTCTAGTTGCTGGTACTTGGCGATTTGGTGACCCACTCAAAGTGTTCGGCATGAATGCAGTTAGGGAAGGGTATATGATGACAGTATCTGATAATGGGAAGGAAAGAGACCTTACCATCCGAAGTCTTCTTGGGCTCGGCCTTCTTGGCAACAACGGCAGTGGAAGAATACGGTGAGAGAATGAGCGCGACAACTAGCACGAGAGAGATAACCGTGATCCCGCTGAGGCGCGCCATTATGATAGCTATTATCAGTCGTGGTGGTTCTAGTGGTGTTGCAAATCAAGACCTTGGAGAGACGAAGATTCAATCGCACTAAATAACAACGAGCGGAAACCACCAGAGGATTAGTATTAAATACAGAACTACGCCTTTGGGCAGTTTCTGACGAATCGGAGGGATGGTTGCGCCAAGGCTTGAGGGATTGCCATTGGCCGTGGATCGCGATGACTTCTCCCAAGACGAATGAACGAGTAGGTTCCGCGGTCTGCTATGGAGTTCTGAGCTAGAAACGCGATGCTGAGGGCTTTGTGAGGTCAAGCGACACGCTGGTTTCCAGCAGCCCTTTCATCCCAGGCAACACGCAGGCGTTTTTCGAGCACTTCTGGGGACGGAGATTGTAACCCAGTAACAGGCCCGCCTCAAGAGCAAGCCCGAAAACAGAGTCGTATCTGGAAATGGCGCATTATCGTCGAGCTTAGTGCGAAGGCAAAATAAGACAGAGTTTCAGCTAGAGTTGTGTTTCAGCTAAGTCTCGAAAAATCTGGGTAGGGGTTTGTAACTGTGTTCTGAAGATGCTCGCAATGGATTTCGTTGGCGAGCATTGGTGTGGACTGCTTGGGGTCACTAGTCTATCAGGTGTAGTCGGGCCACCAAGAAGGCTGCGAGACTTGCGACAATAAACGAATTTACATTTCTGAGCCCTGACGAGTCAGCGAAACTCGTCAACCTTTTTGGATCGCGGTCCCCGCCAGATGCGGCGGCCGAATTGAACGCGTCAGAATAACTCATTATAAAAAGCACGCGTACTGAACGAGGACCGATGAATAGTGTTCACAAAGCGTGGTAGGAAATAGGGTGAGCATTCTGAGCGAAACGGTTATGAAGTCCTTATGCTTAGGAGGTCTCAACATCCAGTGGTACAGATATTACAACATCCAGTGGTACAGATATTACAACATCCAGGGTTGGTTATTATGCCTCATGAGTCTCTTAATACATTAACCAAGCATCTATCATTTGACGTATTGCTAATATTCAGTTACAATGCTCACATTCGGC